GGTGCAAACCTCAGGCAGACGTGGTACCCCTAAATGGCTATGGCGGAGCGTCTGATACGGGCAAGCTATAGTAGTAGATAGCATGCGGTAGTCCCTCGCTGTGGCTTCTGTGTACACAGCTACAGAGCAAGCGGATCAGTCCGTTTGACCGCGTCTAATACACGCATGCGCACCGCTTATTGATGGTTGGGCCACGCAACGCTGTCCGCGACCTTGCCAGTTTTGTTGCTCTCGCAGTCGTTTCAGCAAAATCGCCATTTACTTTTTATAGCCTATGTACCGCTAAAGCTGTTGGTATCACCGCCTCGTTGCCTGTAGTGCGAGAATAGTCGTTGACAGACAGACAACTACGGTAACCCTCGCTGCGCATGCGCGCCGAGGTATTATACTGTCTGAACCAGGGATGCATCTTGCCCATACATTTGGAAGGGGCACACAGCATTTTCAAGCGAACAATGTCCCAAATCAAATCAAATCTCAAGCGGAGGTTCTGCAGGTTGGTACAGTCCAGCAAGAGTCACTACTCATCAGAAGCCTTCTGAAGATATTTGTGGCCAGCCGCTCCTTTCTTTCTAGGCTCTACTGTGGGCAGAGTTTGCCTACTACATAGATACCACAGTAATTTCCTCAACATCTGTCCAAAGGTGTTGTTGCTTATCAGAAATGTGCACCAACACAATGTGGTAGTTCTGTAATAAGGAGAGGAGGAAGTTGAGTGTGTGGCACATGCACTCCATGCCCACGCGGTTCTACTTATAAAGTTGGTTTGTTATGTGAGAGATATAAAAGCAGCTTCGAGTGTGATACACCTGAGTTTTTCACTCTACCTTGTTCCCCTACCAGCGTGAGACGATGTATTTCACTGATACTCCCATCCTCAACATCTGTACTATCTCTGTTCTTCCAGTGACTGGTCCCTTGCTGTGGAAATATCAAGTCAGGATTCTGTATCTTAGCAGAGGCAATGAGCGTCTGATGCAACCTGCTACCATTAGAAAAAGAATGAAGCGGCCTTCGTGACGCATGTGTGTGGCCAGGAGCCACTCCTTTCCTTTCTAGGCTCTACTGTGGCAGAGTTTGCCAACGGACATAGATACCACAGTAATCTTCCTCAACATCTGTGCAAAGGTGTGTGCTTATCAGAAATGTGCAACCCCCACAGTGTGGTAGTTCTTGAGTAAGGAGAGGAAGTTTAGTGGTGGCACTTCGCTCCTGCATTGCGCTTCCCACGCGCTACTTTTATGTGAGAGTATAAAAGCAGCTTCAGTGACATCTGATATAAATCTACCTTGTTTTCCTCCCCTACCAGCAGAAGATGTATTTCATGATCTAACATCTCTCGCTGTTCTCAGCCTCCATTTGCGTCACTTCTGTAGTCCACGTCAGTGTCCCCTCCCTTCCCTCATCATTCACTGCAGTGATAGAGCAACTGTTTGATGACCTCAACATTCCCATTGATCATGAGCCAATTTCCTCTCAGAGGTCATGGGGTTCAAGATTCGACATTCAACATCTGAGGACGACGCTCTCAAATCTTTAACGAAACATCGTTCTCTACTTTACCCTCGCTACCCATAACGACGGGAAAACGGTATTCCCTTGAAATGCAAGCTGAGCCTTTTCGAGATTCTGAGGATATCCACTACAGCGTAATCTCGAGCAACTGGATTACAACCGGGAGCACTCGTTTTTCGTGCAATCGAATATTCTTTGGAGGATATCGTGTGGTCTTATCAGGGGATCAGTTACTTCACGGCAGCTACGGAGGGGTTGATGGAATATCAGCTGGAGTTGAAAATTCTATGCATTACGGATACATGAACATTGATGTTTGTGATCAAAGTCCAGTCATCATCCAGTTCAGTACCCCTACTCCACTCCGCTACGAGCCTGTGGATCGAACAGGCATCTCTCATTTCGACATCTACAACAATGTCCTTGGCTATGGAAAGGCAGTTGGAGCTGTCACTATCAAGCCCGATTATGACAACCCTGGAAAATACCGCATTTCCTCCCGAGATGTTTTCACATTCCCTGCTTAGCTATTAGCTTACTGATGTAGCAGCCAGCTAAACTTTCTAAAGTAAATTGGACTATAAGACTACTTAATTGTTAGATGACGTTTTGAGGTGGTCTACGAGCCCAGGCCTGTTTCGCAATAGAGAAGCGACGCGTCGACAAAGTTGTTCGCGCACTCAACCAGGGTGTGGGTTCCATAGGCGACAGTGCTGTCCACTGAACGGGATACTCTCCTATGCTGATGAGGTGTTACAAAAAGAAGCTAGGCTATTCCACTTCACCACGAGCTATATACTTGCGTGGAGCTAGACCACGAGTGTAAACGCATAGTGTGATGATAACCACTAGCGACTAGCCCGTATACTGCACATGCGCAGTGCACCGAGGGTTTGCACTTCAGTGCCTTCTCAGAAATTCTTTAATTGAGGTGTGACGTGAGGAAGGAGGTGGGTGGTTTTCCTGTTTCTACATCTAAGAGTGAATGTCACTCTAGCTAGGCTGATAACTCTTGTCTTTTGTGTTTCACTCACCTGTGTTATAACTATAGAAAATATTATATGGGGAAGATTGTTAGCTATACTATTCCACATTCCGAAATAGTCAAACCCCAACTTCTCTTCCGTTCAATAAAGAAATGAGATAAGAGGGAGATTGGAGGAAAACAGGGGGCAATGCTGTGTTTCAAGTGCTTTGGTGATGTATTGTTTTCTCATAACACTCATTTGCCCAGTTGCCTGCAAAAACATTGAAATACTTTGATGAGAGGGGTGCATTAGCTCATGGTCTGGGTAGATTTCTGAGTATCCCACATAATATCTAAGTGGTCAGTCATATTATGTTCATGCAATAGTGTGAGAAAGCTGATATGGACCTGGCCACAAAAACCGGAAAAGCTGGAGTCTGACTGGATGGACTATGGACTGGCTTATACATGAAGAAAATCCAGCGCTGCCTTGAAGCTGGGCATTTTAGTCAGGATGGCTATGAGGAGTCAGTGGAGTCATCATCTGTGTTGCATGGAGCAGTCCTAACCTAGCACCCAGCTTCATTCCAAGCTCCAAATAGTCAGAGATGGCGTTATTTGGATAGTCTAAAGTCTGACACAATGAAAGTGCAAACCCTCGGCGAACTGCGCATGCGCGATACCGCTAACAGTCGTTTCATGCAGCAGTCGTTTCAGCCATTTTATTTTTCTAGCCCATGTACCGCTAACGCTGTTGGTATCGCTCATAAGCCGCCTCGTAGCCTGTAGTGCGAGAATAGTCGTAGACAGACACACAGCTACAGACAGACACACACTACCGTAACCCTCGCTGCGCATGCGCGCCGAGGGTTCATAGTAAACGTTTGGGACTGCCCCAGAGATGGCTGCAGGGTCCTCACGTTGGCCAAATTTTGAAGCGTAGTCAGCGTAGGACATGGCAACCTGGTTCAGGTAGAATGGCGTAGCTACATAGCCAGCGCCTTTTCTCTGACGAACGGCCAAGACTGGAGGAAATCCTGACACAAGATAGGGATCCCAAGAGTGTCACTATGTTGGACCTACTTTTATGCTCAACTCTTCCAAACTCTTCATGTATAAGCCAGTCCATATAATCCAGTCCATGGTCCAGTCCAGAATCCACAGTCCAGCTTTTGTAGTGTCCCCAAAAAGCCCCCTCTTTGATCTGTGTACTCTGTCCTAATTAGAGTAGAAGTGCAACACCTGGAGAACATGCCTTGCAGTCAACAGAAATATCACTGTGGGTTGAGCTTGAGTACAGAACAATAATGGTTTAGATTGGACTGGTAGAGAATACATAGCATAGTCTCAATGGAGGAGATCTCCTAATCAGACATGTTCTCAATGGAGGTGTTCTACTGGACATAGATCTCAATCAGCTCCAGTAAGACTTGCTCGTCACTACTCCGAGAGTCAGTACACACTCTCAACTCGAGACTGTCTCTAGTCACACGAGGCAGACGTTTGCAGAACCACGGTGGGTCCTGCCAGCTACAGCATGTACTGCTACCACCACAACCATCACCGTCCCACAGAGGATCATTAGTATAAAAGACCTTCCTCGATCCCGACCGACTGCCCGTATCGCAAAAGTAATCATCCCCGACAAACGGGGGGACTATCCCCGTGTATTGCCTATTGGTTCTAGTACAGGGGCAAGCCTCATCATCGTACTCCGTCTCGTCTTCAACTGCTACAAATGTCCAGACGTGCGTTCGTGGAGTTTGACCACAAGTTAAGATGACTCCATCAACAAACGGGTCTTCCAATGTAAGTTCTTGGTTTTTGTAGTAGGGTCGGAAAGCATTTGGTTCACCAAACTGAACACCTATGACTCGACCACAAACTCTACTGTAGCTGAGCCCCAGAGTGTTGAAAAACACGGATGTACAGCCACGGTGCCTCGTCGTGCACATTCTATTCTCATTGGGCGTGTTAAGCTGGAGATTAAAGGGGCAGCTATGGTTGGGGTTGGTCATGTTGTGAAATGCAATTCTCGTCCAGGCAGTTGTAGTATCGCCTGAGCAGCCACAAGATTGGTCAAAATCGCAATAGATGTGTACAGATGATCCATTGGGTAGGCTCAACCAGTGAAGTCCAGATGAAGCTTCTTTGTCAATTTCCCTCATTTCAGCACAAGAGAAAACTGGATTCTCTTTGCAGTGACCCAACGCACACTTCGATTTTCCATTACCGCGAGAGATAATCGGGGCAACATCCATCATCCTACTGCGAATATCAGTGCTGATTTTCCTGAAAGCGTGTCTCACTTGAGGACTGTCTCCGCACTGACTGCTCTGAACGAAGGAGGCCCGATACCGCTCGGGAACACTAGGCGACGGTTCACGTGATGCTTGCCCTAGCATCAGTAGTGACACCGCGAGAGTACAAAGTGAAAGTACAACTTCGCCACGTGGTGGCTCGCTGCAGGGTCGACTAACCGGCATTCCCCTGCAGCGGTGTTCCTTTCCGGAAAAACAGCACGCGAGAGCTATCTATATATACGCATGCGCATTGTGTCCAGAGAACAGATCGTCGATCGTGAGCACTGCGCTCGCTCGGTGATGTTGGCTGTTGCATTTCTCGTCCTGATAGTGGGACTGAGCACCCACGCCCAACAGAAACAAAGGCGAGTTAATAACTTACAAACCAATCTACAATATTTAGCTAGCAAGTAAGCTAGCTCGGATTTTTAGTGTTGCGAGCCAAGAGTTCGATTTCTTCGTGTTCGTGGAGCTGAGTCCCGGAGCAGATGGCCTTCTGATTGACGGGAAAAACTGCATGGTAGGCCTGCAATAACCATACATTCAGAGATTAAAAACTTCTTTCGTAAAATTTCACATAGAATTGCACAGCAAGTGGCTCTCTGAACTTGACAATACATGGCTTATGGTAAATAGCTAACTGTATAAACTGTTAGTTTTTGGAAAGTGAGCCAATTCTATAACCTTGTTGGTCTAAAACGAGCACCTAACTTTCGGGGGAAATGGTTCTAGTCAGGTTTTTTTAGAGTGTTCTTATATACCCTGCTATACTGTTAGTTAGCTATTGTCTTGTGTTTACAGTCCCACTTTTACAGTTTCATAATGTTCTCGCAAACAAAAACAGTTTATCTTCCACCATTACTATATAGGCCAACAAGAAACGGCTGCAGTCACTATCTACAATACTGCAATTCTTCTTACGAATTCAACCTTGAAGAGATAAAGGTACTTTTTAGAGCTGTTGCGTGACCAAAACACTGAAATTTAAAACAATCCCCTGTTTTTCAATGCAGTCGCTGACTACACAACTAGAAAAGTTCTGGCCTTCCCTGCATAAGTATGCAAACTGGTACGTAGCTTATTGGTACACCATCACACTATGTAGGCACAGTGTAATTACTGGAACCTTGTTTTTAACCCAAAAAACAGTAACCAAACACTCTAAGTCAATTGCACATATATATACTCTGCACACATTTTTAATCACAAGTGCGGTAGTAGGAATCACAAAGGTCCTGTAGCATTATGTCCATACATTTGAAATTTGAATTCCGAATTTTTTTTATTATCTCAATGCTCTTCCCATGTTTCCCAACTCTGGGGTTCTGAACTGTGTATAGCACCAGCCACGAACACCTCTCGGGCAGCGAGTATTTCTGGTGCCACGAGTGGGAGGCACATGGAACATGTGCATGTGAAGTGAAGCACATACAAGGAGAGTTTGACTTTTTCCAGACAGTCCTGGAACTGTTTGAACATCAAATGAACTACGATCAATACGTGCTTGCAAAACACGGCATCGTCCCATCAACAACACATCCATACAGAGTGAGGACAGTTTTTGCTTACATCACCTAGTCTATATACACGAAAAACTTTATACTTGTCAGGTTGAGAAGTTTGTTGATGCATTTGTGGCAGAGTGGAATGTCAAACCAGTGCTGAAATGTAGACGGATGGGGGTAACTACAACTACACTACTCTCTAACAATCTGTTAGCTACTGACAAGCAAATTGAGCCTACCCAGTCATCTGAATTATGTAATTATCTGCCATGTGCACAAACACACCGACTTTGCACTCAATTCGCTGCTCACCTATTGCAGGATGGTGATCGCCAGGTTTTGGATTCCATCAGAACCTGTCTGAGCAAGGATTTTTACACACAGACATACTGCAATTCTTCTTACGAATTCAACCTTGAAGAGATAAAGGTACTTTTTAGAGCTGTTGCGTGACCAAAACACTGAAATTTAAAACAATCCCCTGTTTTTCAATGCAGTCGCTGACTACACAACTAGAAAAGTTCTGGCCTTCCCTGCATAAGTATGCAAACTGGTACGTAGCTTATTGGTACACCATCACACTATGTAGGCACAGTGTAATTACTGGAACCTTGTTTTTAACCCAAAAAACAGTAACCAAACACTCTAAGTCAATTGCACATATATATACTCTGCACACATTTTTAATCACAAGTGCGGTAGTAGGAATCACAAAGGTCCTGTAGCATTATGTCCATACATTTGAAATTTGAATTCCGAATTTTTTTTATTATCTCAATGCTCTTCCCATGTTTCCCAACTCTGGGGTTCTGAACTGTGTATAGCACCAGCCACGAACACCTCTCGGGCAGCGAGTATTTCTGGTGCCACGAGTGGGAGGCACATGGAACATGTGCATGTGAAGTGAAGCACATACAAGGAGAGTTTGACTTTTTCCAGACAGTCCTGGAACTGTTTGAACATCAAATGAACTACGATCAATACGTGCTTGCAAAACACGGCATCGTCCCATCAACAACACATCCATACAGAGTGAGGACAGTTTTTGCTTACATCACCTAGTCTATATACACGAAAAACTTTATACTTGTCAGGTTGAGAAGTTTGTTGATGCATTTGTGGCAGAGTGGAATGTCAAACCAGTGCTGAAATGTAGACGGATGGGGGTAACTACAACTACACTACTCTCTAACAATCTGTTAGCTACTGACAAGCAAATTGAGCCTACCCAGTCATCTGAATTATGTAATTATCTGCCATGTGCACAAACACACCGACTTTGCACTCAATTCGCTGCTCACCTATTGCAGGATGGTGATCGCCAGGTTTTGGATTCCATCAGAACCTGTCTGAGCAAGGATTTTACACACAGACAATGTACTGATTGCATTCTGGACGAGAGCACTTGTGACAATGGATTCTACTACTATCCTGCTTAGAGGAAGCAACAAACACCAATTTTAAAACAGACGAGATCACTTAGTTACTCTTTTAGACTTTTTCTCTAACACAACAGTATGTAGCTAATACAGTTTGCTCTAAAATGAAGAAATATATACTCTATAATTATACACATAGAAGAGTAATGTGATACAGATTCTACTGAAACAAGGTGTGAGGGGCAAGGCTGATTATGTAGTCAAAGTCGGGAGTGAGGTCTTCCTCCTCCAGGAAATGAAGTGGGAGCTCCACCACAAGTCCCTGGATCTTCTGCAGAGTCTCTCGAGCTCTCTCCACGTCCTCCTCCACCACTCCTGAGTTGGTCTGTTATCCAGAAACAGAAGAGTAAGAACTCGCAAAATGATATTATCTGCCTTTGTAGTACAACCCATTAGGAGGACTTCTGCATGTGTCAACAACAAGGTGAGGTAGAAAGGCAAAGGCAAAGCAAACAAGTCAACTACACCCAGGGCCACTTATTTCTTTTCTGCATAATACACGGCACTAATTTGAATGCTCTAAGCAAAGGTGTATAGTGACTAACTCTATTTACTTTCGTGGTAGCTATCAGTGAGAGCTTCTTACCCTGTATTTGCTTCAGCTGTTTGTAGTGAACTGTGTCGTCAGTTGGTACCATAGATCCTCCAAACACCTGCACGAAAAACAATGTGTATGTAGCTACACGATGACTAGCAAGTCTGAGGAACATTGTACTGTGACTATGGACCTGCTTGTATAGCTGGGTGTTGTTGATGGCAGCCTTCATCCAGGTGTTGAGGTAGAACTCATCAGAGGCTGGGTCTTCAACACTGATGTCACTGGAAGGAGACTCGACTCCGCCCTTCTGCTGACTCGGCAAGAGACCCAGGTGCTCCCTGGTCGTGTATATACAAGTGCAGAAAACATAGGTATACCAATGCAGAAGGCAGTACTACAGCAAAAACTCGAACAACATGCAGGATAATGGATCTACACCACTGAACAGTCTACTCTCCAGCCAGAGTGCTGAGCTATCGTGCATTATAATACGTTGTAAGTCACGGCCTTGTTCAGTCTAAGACATCTCAGGAGACAACGAACGAGCAGTAACTGGCATGACTTAACGAAAAATGAGGACCAGTGATTTCATTTCAAAAGAAGCTGTGCTGTGTGATACACAATCTCACTTGAAGAGGTGGACACGAATTGAGTGCGAAAACTTGCCAACTTGATACGGCTGACCATTCATGGTACCGTCAATCTAAGTGAATGAGTGAAAAAACGCGATATCGAGTTGTGAAAAAGAGAGGGAATAGGAAATTAATTGAAAAAGGAATCAATCAGGGAAGGAGAGAGAGAGAGACAGTGATTTGTACAGGTTCAAAACCTCTCTCACCATTTCTTTGTCCTCAAATCGAATGGCTACTTCAGAGTCTCTCTCTCCAGTCATACTTCTGTCGTTCACATTGGCTGCAGCATGACATAACACACTAACAACGGAGCAAAACACAATACATACACTGGTATGATGCTCAAAATACTACCGTGATCTGATCACCTGAGCCAATGATGGTGATTCTGTCATCAACCACCATCAGCTTGCTGTGAACATAGACAATCTCTGACTTCTGCAGGTAATAAAAACAACTGGCGTTGGAGAATGCTTAGTTCTCTCAAAATTGCCAGACTCACAGGAGTCCAATTGATCTCTCCGTGGGTCCTCAGACCATACACTGATATGTAGTTCTTTATCTCATCCTCCGGGACTAAATACAAAATTGTCGCATAATGTCTTCGAAATCTTCACATTACGTGCTGTCATTACACACACACAAATATACACATAGTAAGAAAGAGAAAGATTTGAACTTAATTCACTTACATAACATAAAAGTATGTGGTGGTAGCTATAATGGGCCAATGACCTCATAAACTTACTCCTGTCTTCCTTGTGAAGTCTTCCAAAGAGAGAGTCCTCTCCTCGTGAGAGAGTGTAGTAGTTCCAGTGGAGAACTGCCTCCAGAACTGCTGTCTCCTTCTCTCCAAACTTCTCTGTTGCAAGAATGACAAGTCAGCACGGTAGCTACACCAGGATTTTTATTTTTCATCACAAGTAGGCAATAAACCATACCCCATGTTACTCATACGTAGTCCAAAATTGTAATACGACCCCTCTCTTCCATTATAGCTTGCAATTTTAGGTAAATAATTATACCGCCTGTCAATAATTATAGATATGAACGTAAACTCACCAGCAGGGAATGAAGGGAGGAGAGGCATGACAATGATGACTCTGAAGGTCTGTCCATGTCTGTAGGCCCTCGCGATCCTCAGTCTGAGGGCTTCGGCCACTCCGTTGGTGATGTTCTCTTTCAACAGAGACGATATGAAGAATTGTTGCTGGGGAAAAGACACATGATGCGTAACTTGTTTAGTTGTGTCAACTGTCAACTAGTAATAGCAGGGGTTACCATTACGTTTGAGTAGCTCAAGGAGAAAATTGAGACGGTATTAGTTGCGTGGGTTTCTTTTTTCTCTACCTCAATAGATTTTGCATCCCTTAAGGTTCCTACAGAGAGATGTCATGTTATTACCTCGATGAATATGAAGTGCTCGGCCTTGTCAATGGCCTGGATCCAGGCATTCATGATGGAGTGCTCCAGAGGTACTCCAGCTGACCACTCACACACCGACCTCAACATCTGTGTGAATATTATAATAGCATACATTAGCACAAATATAACAGCAGGAACTAAGCAAAATGCATCAGTCTTGCTGGAAAACTATGTATGAACTCAAAACCTTGTTTAGCTGAAAAATAAACAGCAACATACCTGTGTCTATATAATACTTATTTTAGGATATTTCATTTTCCGTGTGTGAGTATGCTGATCCTTGGTATGGTAATTCCTTCCCTAGTTACATACACCTGATGAGCCATCCTGGTATTCCTACCTGAGCAGAGGTAGTGAGAGTGTGTCCAGCAGTAGTCAGAATATCTCTGAGGTAGCCAGTCTCCTGCTCCTCTGACTGGGAGAATGTCTTCCGGGGAAGCAGGTAGGGCACCTCCTCTCCTTCCTCTTGTTCACGCTGCACACAGAGATGAAGAACAGTTTTCCTTTTAAGATTCGAGATTGGTGCTTATAGTTATACCACACAGGGTATGTACGTATGTGCTCCCCAGAGCTCTAGCCAGTAAGACTTCTTTCTGCACTCTGTACATACTAATGGTGTCTCAGTAAATTTTTTTAACACCATTACTTCTAAACGAATCGGGACGTGGCAATTAGTCTGTAGAACAAGACGTTCATGTGATGTTAGTGCAGCAGTGCGATGTTTGGATACAGAAATAGAGAATTATTGCAAACATGCAGAAAGTGTGAATTTTGACTTACGCTCATGTGACTACACAGACTTAATTGAGTTTGCTTTATGTATAAAAAAAAGTTGTTTTAAAATTTCTATACTCTAATACACCAATGTACAAACTAAGAGTCTAGTTTAATTGTCTTTCCAAGGCTATAACCTAGCGAAAAACATTCATCTTCGACATAAGACTTTCCTTACGATCACCTGCCTCAGAACACCTACCACAACTGCCAGTAGAGGCAGAAAGGTTATAACTGCAACAGTGCACACTGTACTGGGTTCGTATTCAGCCAGTGTTAGAATCTCAAAGAGGTAAAAGCACTGAAGTGCTGTCAAACAGAATATCAGAACGTCGTAGAGGTTGTGCCTTCTTGTTTTGTAAGGCTGAAGTAATCCAAACAATCCAGCAAGACCCATCGTAAGGATACCGACACAGAGAATACTTGTCGTTTCAGCAGTAATCTCATTGCCTCTGAATGAAAAAACGGCAACTCCAATGCCTCTCAGAAGCAACATAAGGCCCGGTACAGCACGGTAGTCCCTGGTTCCAGCCGTACCGTCCTTGAAATCACCGTTGAATGCTTCAATGAAGGTTCTGGCTGCATTACGAAGTCTTCTAGAGTGAATTCTGTAACCAAACCAAGTCGCACAGCGAGTGGGGTACAGTGTCAGAGATAGAGGCAAGACCAGACCGACTGAAACCAGTATCATTGTTGCAGGGACTGCGTAGTAGAGGTGACCAGGGCTTAAATAGTTTATATGTGGGTCAATTGAACGTTTATCGCTCACAGGTGAACTTTGTGTTTCTGAAGGTATACGTGACGTGTAATAAGGTCTGATTATAGATATTGAGATGTGGACCATTTTCAAGTGAGAGAGAAGAAAGTAAGTTGCAAACACACGGATGAGGTTTGTTCCAGCTACTTGCCTCCGAATTAAACCTAGAGATAGCCAGTTCAAAAGCTTCCACGGATACACTGCTATTTTGAAGTTACGTTTGTGTAGATGCATTGCCAGTGATGTGAGAAAAACTAGCACCATGGGCCAGAAGGCAGAGATATAGCCAGTGCTCATAGCTCCCAGTACACTGACACTCTGGCTAACACAAAACTTTGGTATCACTGACCTAAAGAAATCCACGTTCCAAACTCCGTACAATGTACGGAGGACAATAGGGACCCAGGAACCACTCAGGGATAATACAAGGTGGGTGTGTGTTTGACTGCTTACTATGTAAGCTACGAGACTGAAGTAGAATATGACAGTATTCCACTTGCTGGAAATTACTGAAATGTTCAAACTAACCAGGAGCAGGTAGAAAATTGTGGAGAACCCGATTTCAAGAAGGATATAGAGTGGTATCCCATAACTGTAGCAAGGACAGGCACAGGGTAGGCCAAAGTAAGTGTAAACGGAAATCCCACAGCCTGGCTTGCACTGACGGCAAAGATATCCTCTTCTGTCACTGCTACTGCAGAAAAAATCGTCCAAAGCAGAAGTGTTTGGAGGTAAGTCTCTAAACAGTATGCTTCTCTTATGTAGTCCTTTCGTAGGATCCAGATAGAATAATTCCCTGCTTATGAACAGTGGATACGTGCCATTTGTTGCTGTCACGGTTGTGGTTACATCAACCAGTGCCCCCGTGTCACTGCAATGAACGGATGAGTTGTATAGCCAGACGCAATCTGAACACGGTGACGACGCGTTGGGGGGAGTGAAGTGCCACGGAGGACAATCAGAGTGTGCTGTAACCACAGTCAATTCTTGTGAAAGGCACAAAGAGAGAATTACTCCCAGATGAGCAACCACTGCAGCTACTATCATTCTCCGACACACTGAGACACTCGTTGGAAGCACGCAAGAAGAAATTGTCTTTTCTAACGAGTATCGTGTTTGTCTTCCACACTTGGCCATAACGAGAGTGAAATGCCGCAACATTGAAATCAAAACTCAACAAGAATGAAAAGCACTAAAGTGCAAACCCTCGGCGAACTGTGCATGTGCGGTACTGCTAATTGATGGGCTGGGCTATTTATAAGCTCGCAGAGAGTCTGACGCGGGCTAGCTACAGTAGCTCCAGTCGATACACGCCCTTCGTTGTGACTTCTTGTGCCTTCAAGATACACAGAGCAAGTGGGCCTGGTCGAATTAATATATAACCGCATGCGCATTTTCCGCAGCGATAAAAATGGCCGACTACGCATTAGCCGTACAATGCTGGCTTTGGAGTGAAGCATTTTCAGAGAAAACCGTTCGAAATTTCTGACCTTCATTGCCCGTGAAGTAGGTCATATCGTTTGTGAGACGAAAGAACATTCGAGAAGTGAGATGTAACACACACACAGACCCAACTACCGCACCCTCACTGCGCATGCGCGCCGAGGGTAACAATAGCCATTCCATTCCCTCTTGTGGATTTACCTTTTCAGATACAAACAGTTTTAAAGTTGTTTGCGTATATTGAAACCAAAGCATTCGCTGACTTGCAGTAAGAAAGTATAATAATATTTGCAATTTTTGAGTGGCCAGAGTAGCTAGCACACCATGAACATGACTAATTACTGACTCATGCTTAGATTTTGATGAAAACCTATTCTGCTTCTGTGGATATTATAATTAGCTACAGGGGAAATTATTATAGGCAATACTGTAGAAGAACAGACCTTGGTGAAGTTGTGTCTCTGAATGAAGTGTCTGGCGACATCTCTAGCTGCTGGGCCATACACAGCAGAGGCTATGTCATGCCACGGCATCCTTGGCTCCTTGGAACGATCATATCCCTCTGTGATATAATAGAGTACAAAGCTTACTATCTGTGACCCGAAAACTTGTGGAATTAAACAAAAGTTTGCTTATTAACAAACTACTGCTTATTGCTATCACATTCACCATCAAAAGGCTTGTGGATCACCACAGAAATTTCCAATCCTGGCCTTAAAGGGAGTGTAGCAGTGTATAAGTCTAAATTACTTAATTGGATTCTTACACTTGGCCCTATTGTTTCATTCCATCTTTAGTAAAACTTTAGCCCTTATGTACTGGAAAATATCCTAAATGCCATCTTAACTGACCATCGAAAGGCTTGTTGAGTTCAACAAAGTCCTTGATGAAAGGGTTGTAGAAATCCTTCCCAATCCACTGCTGGTACTGCCCCTCATCTTCATCTCCCTCCAGCACCTATATATACAGTTTCTTAGTTATTACTGTCAGGGCCATTTTTAAAACTTTGTTAATTTCTCTCATAATCAGAACACATTGATGGAGATAAGATGACTAACCAGCTCAGTAGGTGTGTGCTGAGGAATGGACTCAGGTGACGGAGGTGGGAGGTGGTCGGAGATCATGTGACACTCGTTATCCCAGCGACCAAAGGCAAGGTCAATCCCACCCACAAATGCCAGGGTCTGGTCAATTATGATAATCTTCTCGTGATGACCCCACAGTAGGACACCTGCTATGAAGACGTCTGGATGACGCAAGAACTGAAGAGTCGTGGAGCAAAGGGAATAAGTGAAAAGGGTGTTCATTATCAGGAAATATTCTTCTTGGAACAAACGTTTACTTTAGCAGTGATCATAAATGCAGCTAGATGCTCAGCTATATTATACTGCATTTTAATTCACTTTAATGATAATACTAGCTGGTGTTCATGCAAATCTCGTGAAAGCCAGCTCTTACATCTCAGTGCCACAAAATGCATAATATGCCTTGCTATGGCCCTAACACTTGAGACTATAATTCTACAGTAAAGATAAAGGTGAGAGAAAGTACTGCTATGAAGTACTCACCACGACATTGGGGTGCTTCAGCAGTTTCTGGGCATACTCACTGCCCAGTTGAATGGCCAGCTCCAGTTCTTTGTAGGCCTGGAGAAACACTCTCACTCCCTCTCCCTACAGGAAGAACGTATCATCATAGAAAAGCTACACTAAGTTTGTGCATTTTCGTTAAACAAACAACGGTTGATTCCTCATGTAACTAGATTACATCAACAAACATGTGGGATTGAAGAGAGTAGGACATCTTACCGCTTTCTTCAGGAGCAGGTAGTCCAGCCTCCACTTCAGTCTGTTCTTGTGACTGCCTTCTCTCTTTAGAAGGATGTGGGGGCTAAACCTGTGGGGAACACGCACAACAGGGCAATAGCATTATAGCTAAGTTCTATTGCTCTTAGAGAAAATGTACACTCAGAAAAGAATGGAGAATAAACCGGTTTCTGTCACATGATGGACCAAGTCCACACAAAGTTGACCATTCTGTTGTTTCAGTTGCTACTAGTATGTGTTTAGTGTGTGTGTGTGTGTGTGTGTGTTCTTACTGCCAGTCAGTGATGTATATTTCATCTTTGGCAGCCAGGATGGCATCAGCTACATCAGACATGTACTGCTGTCCATCCACATACCTGGGGAGAGAGAAACGGACGGAGAAGATAGGAAAAAATAAAAGAAAATGAAAGAGAGAAAAATGGGGGATGCAAACGAAGAGATGTGAAGTAGAGGAAGAAAGAAAAAAGGAAAATATTGATGATCACTAACCACTTGGAAGGAGTGTTGCTATGCTCAGGAGCAAAGGAGAAGAAAGGTTTGGCTCCACCCAGATCTTTCCCGTGCTCTCCATCACTACCTCGATGGCTGCCACCCACTCACTGGATAAGTCACACAGAGATAGTGTCTCACTAACTAATCATTGAGGATGACCCTGGATTAGGCCATAGTTTAATTTAACATACTTCATAACTCGTTTTGATGGAGCCTTGACAAGAAGATCCCTGTAAAATTAGTAGTAAGAAATGATGATGTAGCAAGAAATGTTTTCGTTAATATTAGCACCTTTGGTAAGCAACAAATCGTCATAATGCAAAATTAAAATATTGCCACACATTATACTGAAACGTTTTAATGGTCAGTGACCTCCATTAACTCCTACTCAACAAGCAATTAACCCTTCTCACGCCCCATTAGAGATTCTCATTCCAACCTGGACTGGTTCCACACTAACCCCTTTCTCACTATAACTGGGTTCACATTAACCCCTTCCTTACAATAACTCACATTAACCCCTTCCTCACAACATTCACATTAACCCCTCCCTCACAAAGACTATAATATAATATGTGCACATTAACCCTTCTCACACCTGGACTGGTTGGAGATCTTGATACCATGTCTTATCCCAGCATGAGTAAGACCATAGTTGAGAGTCATTCCAGTGTCAAATAGCAGCACTCCTGAAATGGTGTGCGACGTGCCTCAGATGAATGGTGAGACCTGTGATGAAACAATACATGGACGGGCACCCAGAGTGCAATACAGTAGTTGTACATTGAGGAGCTACACCATAATGAAAGCAAACAATAGTTTTCAGTAAAGAGTACACCGTTGATTATATAAGAGGTGAGAGCTATACCTACTCATCCCTCTATATAAAATCGCAGTTCTTATAATATGTACCAGTGCAGTTTCATACATGAGGACATGCGTATATGTACCTGATCATGACAAGGTAGGAATCTTTTAGCACAAACCACCTATGGAGATATGGACGAGTCTCTCAACATGTAGGAAGGCAGTGTGGAAACGAAAGAAAAGAGGGCTAACCTCTTTCTCCAGAATGAACAGCGGCAGATGAAACAGGCAGTGAACCCGAAACAGTCTACGGTTCTTCTGTGACCTCCCGACCTCTTTGTTAGCAGACCCTCTCTACAACCAGCAATTCAGAGCCGTAAGGAATAAATAGTCGGAAAAGAGAGGTTAAAAGCGAAGAAGGAAGTAGAGAAAAGCAAACAAAATAATGGTGGAAGACACATACATTGTTAGTAAAGAATTAAGAAAATGGAAATAGAGAAGAGTACAGGGAAAAAGGAGAGACGGAGAGTTACAAGAGATGTGATACAGACTAACTTTTTCTTTGGTCCAGTGTCCTTGATGAAAGAGATTCTGCTGATTTCAAAAAACCGTGCCTGTATACACATCGAACAATGTAGTCAAAGTGTGTACACATAATGTTCTGAGTGTATCAATAAATGTACTGGGAAGTTAACTATGGATGAGCAATAGTAAGCAGCTACAACTCCACTGTGATGGACCACTCACAGTGGCAGGGTGAGAGCGATAGGTTCTGCTGCTCACAACAGCATTCAGGAATCCTTGCACCTTCGGGACTTGCTTCTGCAAATGAGTACATAGAAAACGATGTCATTGGTCACACCATTCATTCAACTAATGAATGATGCCCCCGTCATTGAAATAACAGAGAGTAAAATCCATTAGTAAAGGACTCATTCAGGAGCTGTTCCACTTATGTTAGGTTTAAGAGCACCGAAACATTTTTCATTATTGAGCATTAATTCAGGGGTCACTCCATTGATGTATGAGTTAAGGAGCAGCATAACGTGGTGTGCGTAAAATCTCACTCTCAGTCTAGTCCCTTGTCTGACATTCAAGTCCTCAAGGTTGAGAAGAGTGGGGAGAATGTCCCTGCGACTTCTGCAGGGAGAATTGTAAACATTCCTCACTTGCTCTCTAAACTGTTCTTGCTATCGTATGTGGCACACACAATCTCTTTCCATGTTTTTAACTCTCTCTGTTATTCCCCTTTCTTTTTTATTCCCACTTCTTCTTCTTCCCTCCCTCCTTGCCTCTTTCCCTCCATTCCCTTCCCCCCTCATCTCCTCTCTCACTACCCTCTCCCCTTCCCTCCTTCCCAATCTCATCCACCCTACGCCTCGTCCCTTCTCATCTCCTCTCTCACTAATACCCGCTCTTCCCTCTTTTCCCTCCTGCCCACATCTCACTACTACCCTCTCATCCCCTGCGTCATCCTCTCGAGTCACTACCCCTCGATACGTCCGCTGCCTTCCTCCGTCCTGGTACTCTCACGGCTCAGTGTCTTCGCGTCCCACTTCACCGCCCTCCCGCCTGCTCTGCCTCTTCCCCTCGCTCACTTGACCCTCTTTTCCCCATCGCATTAACTCAGCTTCTCCTCGTCCCACAAGTCTCCGCGGGGCCGTTCACCACGCGCGGCCTTCCCCGCCCCTCCTACGGTCGTCCCCTCCTTCTCGAAACTCTCCTCCCGGTGGCTCTAGACTGACTTCCCTCCCCTTCCCGCTTCCCAGCTCACACACTCCCAGTCTTCTCTTCAGCTTGTCTCTGAGTGGCATGAGCTCTCGACGAAGTGACAGGACCTCTCTGTAGTACTTGCTGATGGTCCACTTGAATTTACCATGCTCCAGAGTAATGACCATCCTGAAAGGAGTCCAGATAGTTGCACATGAGCCATATTAAAGGATAGTGTGTAGATAATATAATTCGCTCCATTAGTGATACCCATGAGAATATATTCTCATGGGTATCACTTAGGGAGCGAATGGAGGAGTTTTTACATTGGCCATATGTACTTCAAGTTCATTTAGTTGGAAATCCCCAGTGATTACTAATGCAGATTGGCCATCCACATTTTCTGTTGTTTGCCCCCTTTTCAGTGCTTCTTAGCCGTCCTTATATCTCGCTGGATTATTGCACTTGTAGGACAGAACCTTTTAGATTCCCCGCTATAATACAGTGTGTACTATGGGCAGCGATGGTTATGTAATACAGTGTGTACTATGGGCAGCGATGGTTATGTAATACTGTGTGTACTATGGGCAGCGATGGTTATGTAATACTGTGTGTACTATGGGCAGCGATGGTTATGTAATACTGTGTGTACTATGGGCAGCGATGGTTATGTAATACTGTGTGTACCATATGGCAGCGATGGTTATGTAATACTGTGTGTACTATGGGCAGCGATGGTTATGTAATACTGTGTGTACTATGGGCAGCGATGGTTATGTAATACTGTGTGTACCATGTGGCAGCGATGGTTATGTAATACTGTGTGTACCATATGCAGCGATGGTTATGTATTACTGTGTGTACTATGGGCAGCGATGGTTATGTAATACTGTGTGTACTATGGGCAGCGATGGTTATGTAATACTGTGTGTACCATGTGCAGCGATGGTTATGTAATACTGTGTGTACCATATGCAGCGATGGTTATGTATTACTGTGTGTACTATGGGCAGCGATGGTTATGTAATAACTGTGTGTGTACCATGTGCAGCGATGGTTATGTAGTACAGTGTGTACCATGTGCAGCGATGGTTATGTAATACAGTGTGTGTACCATGTGGCAGCGATGGTTATGTAGTACTGTGTGTACCATATGCAGTGATGGTTATGTAATACAGTGTGTACCATATGCAGCGATGGTTATGTAATACAGTGTGTACCATGTGCAGCGATGGTTATGTAGTACTGTGTGTACCATATGCAGCGATGGTTAATAAAACTACCCCAGCAGTTGTTAAGTTACTACAACACCAATGCTGTACAAGTCAGCAGTGATTTACGAGTACATATAGAAACACATACAACCTTACCGTGAAAGCACTGAGCAGATAGATCTTTCACTAAGTACTGTGTAAGTATTATTGGAATGACACAGTTGTCCTCGATTTTATGCCAATACATTTGGGATTAGTAGGTTTCACTTTTAAATACTGCACCCAGACAACTATAAGGTAGGCCCGCTGGATTCATTAGCAAAGCATTTAGACACTGACCGTGGTCTTCTGCTGGGAGAATCAGCCGCAGTCGTGGCGTGACCGGTTCGAGCTGTCACTGTCACCACCACTGGGACTTGTGGTAGGAACGGGTTGACCCTGGATCCTGTTTTGAACCCATGGATCTCCCGGAGTAGAATGACTGGCACTGAGAGGGAGGGAGAAGAGAGATTAATAACTGTTATTATCTCATCCAAGAAGCATTGCAAGGAGTGTCTATAGGTGTGTGCAATGTTTGGCTGGACCACTGAGGAATAAGGTGTTGATAAAATTACCCCTAGCCTACATTACTTAGGTTTTGGCAAGGACTTTGTACACACGGATGTCTGACACCAAATCCAGTACTAGGCGTTGTAGAGAAGGCTGTTCTAACTATTGCCAAGTCATCAGAAACTAGTGTACAGATCCCCAAATTGCTTCAGCCATGTAGATCTACAGGTCACCCGCTTTTATTGCATACACATACATTATCGTAGTTGCCACTCAATTCACGTGAAACAGAGTGCAAAGGGTGACTATTGAGGTGTTACTGGGCACTACAATGAATGTTTGAGCTACAGCATTGCATTACTAACACACATTCTCAAGTGGAAACGAATCCTTTCCCCTGAGTAATAGTTGTGAGTGATTTAAAACTGCATGCAGTGACTAGGCAAGATTGTATGTAGAGCTAGTGAGAACTTTTACTCCTATTCTTTTACTTAGTACTAACCACTATGTGGTCAGTGCCAAACTGAACAAGCAGTGAAAACAGGAAGCTAAGGTGGCTTAGTCTTTTGAACTTGCTCTGTCTAGACAGTACCTAGATGTTCTGAAAGACATCAGACATAATCTTGATAGGTTCCTTCCTAGATAACCTTACCACAAAATGTATGTGTTACATGTACATAGATGATGCATTATCGAAACAAGGTGTGAATATGTAATTTGCACAATTTTATCCTTGTGTTCTGCCAATTATTATACAAGTGGAAAAATCATTTCTTCAAAATGAAAGGGGGATATAGGGATGGCTTGAAGCACCAAAAAGGAAGAAACAAGGGGT